ATTCAGTCTGTATTAGTTCTACTCCTTTTGGGTTCGCCGGTTCAAAAACTCAATTTGTAGGTTCGACATACCAAACGATTTCGCATAAATTCTACGTCGCCTTGACAGCCGGCCGCAAAATTTTCAGTCGCACGTCATCGCAATGACAATGATTTCAACCACAACCAGTTAAATGCAGCAATCCTGAAACCAACACAGCACACTACACCAGGAGGCGCATTAACATGATTCAGTGTTAAGGTAATCTATAAGATTTGAGACTTTTTATTCAAACGACTCTCAAGCTATTTGTAACCAATTCTAGATCCCATGAATGAACCCACAATATCGTGACACTTGGAAGAATCCGCGGACCAAGCGTTAGAAGCTGAAAATTAACTCACTCCTTCGCAACTGAAGTAGCACCCTAAATACTACCGAATACACGTCTGCCTAGACTGGACTGAGGCAGCAAAATATACCTTGACACCCAAGAGTTCTTGAAGTAAAAGTGAAAACAACTGATTCAGGTGGAAATGCTCACAGTGCTGCCGCTGGTCTTATGTACACCTCTCACGAAACCCTGTGGTGCGCGGACTAATATTGATGGGCCCACGTGTAGGTAGACAGCTTTACCCTCGCGCACACAGTTGGATCTGAGAGCTGCCAGCAGTTGTGGCGCTGACTTCCAGTGGACACATAAGCAAACGCCTACCACCCTAATCCTAACCTATGTAGAGGCGTTATTGATTCTCTCATCTTCTCTACCAGTTAAACGCAAAGCGTTAGATAAACTAAATTTAACCCAAGTCGGCATAATCTGGCTACGAGACGCAGGAACTCAACGGGTTTTGGTGCATCGTGTCAGTCGGTAAACAGCGTTTACAAGTCAATGTGTTTGTCGTTACATTCCACATTCGTAATATATTCAAATTACTCAAACACAGGCATTTCTTTGGTTGATGTCACATCTAGTGGCACAAAGATACAGACCAATTGCAACTGGGTTTCGTGTCGAGTAGCGCCGTAATCTCCTTTGTCCATAAGATTAGTCCAGAGGTTCTGCTGACACTGCGTGTTCATCGGTCGAATTTGCATTCGACGTTTAAGTCGGATTTACTTAAAATGTCGCTGTGTAATTCATCACTAATACCACATATGCCTAGATAGGACAGAGTTACTTTTGTCATTGCTTGTTTGTACTAATGCAGTTTCGTACCTTGTTAGTTATTAGAGCTGTACACGACAAATACACCACCAAACTATAATTGTGAAAATTAAAGCGTGTAAATAAGCACAAAATATCCAAATAGATCAACTAACCGGAAGTGAAGAGAAATCAGAAATTTGCGGCGCAGGAAGCAACGCATTGACGTTCATCTGGCCCTGTTGCGCATTGCTTTCAGGAAAGTTGACTGAAGAAACTTCCTGTGGTGGCACATTGTTGGGAGATGTTCTCCTAGAAAAACCCAATGTGGTTTGCCCTAAGGCTTCCTGCTCACGGCTGGCAGCCACAGCATCTTCACTGTTGGTTGGCGTGGGCGAGCGAGGCTGCGTCGCAATCTCGCCGAGAAGATCAAGAAGCTGGTTGAATGTTTGCAGGCTTATATTAGCCTCCATGTTGTATTTCTCGTTACTTTTATTTAAGTCACATTGTTTTTTGAATTCCGAGATATTCTATAGTGGTAAAGAAAAAATATATACAGATGAATCATTTCACTATTATTCGTCACAATAACTATGAACTCATTTCTTGCTTAAACAAACAGCGCTTTCAGTGACGCTCGACAGCATTTCGTGAACGCACATAGGAAGACAAGTTGCAGCAATTCGAGTCAAGGTTCTCATCATGCTATCCTCGCACCTATTGCTTTTCCATTACTCAAACACTTTATTCTTTGTGTTGATGTCAACGTCCTAGGCTGAGCTGAAACCGTTTTGCCCGAAGGAGGAGTGAAGACAAAGAATAATATAGAGCCTAGCAGGTCGAAAACGGCCCAATCCATCACGCCGTCCATCACATATAGCCGCAATTTTTGAAGAGACTTTGCTTTAAATCACCTTCACTTTGTAATCGACACTTATTGTTAATGTAAGCCTAATGCGTCTGTGCAATTTGCCACTCAATGTATGCATGCGACAGGTCATGGTCACAAATGCTGATGTCTTGTTTCTAGTAACGTAAAATATAGGAATGAGGAAAACGGACCCCAAAACGACCTTCTCAAGTGCATGTTGACAATAGGCAGTAAGCGTCCATCAGTCTTCATGCCTGTTTCTTCAGGAAGTGCTAATGGTATCACTATACAAAATACGACCTGTCATTTTAGAAAATCCGACTAGAAGAAACGTTTTGTCCATTCCTTTCCTTGAAGAGCAGAGAGCTGCAGTGAATCGTCTTGATTAACGCTCAATAACTTATGTATCGCAGCCTCTCAGCTAACCGTACAACGATGCAAATAGGGGAACTTAGCTGCTGAGTAAATAATGAAGAAAAGGATCATTATCATCACAGTAGTCCCTAATTGCAGTTTTCTACATATTGGAATTTAAATCGGAAAAAGGAAACACGTGGAAAAGGAAGCCAATTTTAATTGAAATTTTGCAAGAACAATTTTTCAGCCCTCTCCCCATATACGTGGTAAATGACACCTCATGCGCCAGCGTGATTGAAAGTGTGTGCACAAGCCACAGGCTACCCCGGTTCTGCCGAAAACCCGTATCGAGATTCTACGGCTGTCACTGACATGAGGCTGATTGCTTTTGTTTGGATTGACTCTCCCATTAGTTTGCAATGTCTGTAGGTAAACTGATGCAATAAGGCGTAAAAGCATAAATCCATTGCAATGGAATCAGCTACACAGTTGGCACTTCCATTTGGAGTTGTAGTGAATCGCGTGGATGCTGTTACTCCATTTGTCGACATCATGATTCCCGTTACGCAGCCTGCCGTTAGCCGAGTAAAACGTCACCTCGAACATAAAGAGGGAGAAGGATTATTCTGTAATTTTACTAGGTCTCGTAATATTTACAAACATGTCTCATAAAGGGCCTCATAATGAGATGTTAGCAATGAGAAGTGATTTGGGAAGCCGGTGCCCTTAAACTTAAAACAGGGTGCTTTGGCTACTGCGTCTGATTCTACTTTGACTACGACTGCTAAAATCATTGCTGAGGGTAAAACAATGATTAATTACAATAGTTTAGACCACAACGGTGCTCATTTCTATCAATTGAATTTGTAAGAAACCCCATGGGTAGTAAGCATTTCATGGGTTTCCATAGGTCCATTTAGCACTTGGATAAAAGTCATGACTCTTGATAAGCCAGCTGAATGTCTTAGCTTGCTTGTTGATCAGACCATCGGGGTGGAAGTGGTCTTACGATGTTGCAGTGAATAGTCGAATTCAGTTAAAGCTGATCGATTTCGTCTGCAAGATCTGGACTTATTTCTAGTGGCTAAGTTAAAAGTGGCATTGAAGTACAAGGCTTGGTAGGAAGCTACATTTCTCAAAGTCACAGTTTGTCGGTTTTGGTCGTGTAGTGATGTCGAAGCGAACATTCAAATCTTGCATGCATGCATGTGAATTTAATCGATTATTTCGATGTATGCACAATTATCACACAGCGACGCCTCTGAATGAATTCGCAGGTCATCCATTCATCCGAAAAAATATGGTCTGTCACACATAACCTCCACTGCTGTGTAGATTTCTTGTTGCGCCCAACTTGTGTCTGCTACAGCCATAGAAACGTGTGACCTTGCCATGGACCGTCGGGAACAGCAACCTTCGATGAACTCATGACGACTATGTGCCAAAGGATTTGCCAATCTAGTCAGATTTTAAAGTCTTGATTGCCTTGTTGCCTTCAGAGTGCTATGACGCATTAATCACTAAATCGTCCTTGCAATAACAAAATATTGGAGATTACTGAAACCAAAACGCTGCATAATGACAGGGACCGCAAATCATGTTCATATTCTGGCATTCGTCGACACATAGAATCCTCAAGAATCGTACTGCCTTGGTGCCCAAGAATTCCATTTTTCACTAAAATGTACTGCTGGCAGCATGATTTCTAAATATTGGGACAGTCAGTGTAGACTGGGTGAATTTTCATCTAGCCTTCCAAGGTAATATGTGCAGTGAAGTTTTGATTTTTTAAAATCATTTTGCCAGATTTTAGTGGCATAGTCTTACAGTGCAAAGAAATCTGCAGAAAAGCCTGTGGATTCATTTGAGTTCAAACCAATGCCATCCGTTTCATGCACCGAATTTCAGACTAGGGTTCATTGTTAGTTTGATAGCTTTACGATGCGCATACTCAACTGTGGTGGAAAACGCACATTGCATGAAACCAAGTAAGCATTTCAAGCAGACGGCAACAAACTAATTGGCAAGACGGCACTAGGTGAATGGTGATTTGTTGAAATCATGATTGCATATATTGCTACCGATTGTCATTCAGGCAATTAAGAAAAGCCTATGTGATTTATATTTGACAAGTCATTGGGCGCTGCCTTGACAAGGGAATAAGTAAATGCTAATGTAACCTTCTGTTGCAGTATTGCGTTTTAAAAAATTATCCACTCGCACTGTAACTCTTCTCGACGCAGTTCTTCTTTGGTTACATGGACGCTAAATAGATCAAGTTGCCTCATCGTTGCAAAACCAAAACAATTCCAACTCAAACCTGACGATTGGGATTTTACCACCCGCTGTATTTTTGTGTGAACATAAACCGATTCGACTGCACTCTGGCTCCTTTGAGCGCTGTTGTCTTGAGGTTGCCATGAACTGAATATTTGTGGCGCGGTTTGCCTTGTGGAGTAGCGACATGTCTCATTTAACCCTGTATGCAGGTGATCGTCTGTTCACTGATTTACCTCGTAGCCTGTGCATGCGGCTATTGACTCATGAAGCATTTGCACCTACGTTTTCGTACCTTGAAGCACATTTTAATTAATTTCAACTGCTTAAAATAAAATGAATATTAGGCAAAACACTGCAGATAACAACCCTTGCCGCTTTAATTTATTCCTCTCTTTAGAGCACTATTTAACTGCCGCAATATTGAATGCATCGATGTATCAAACACACATGACTCACCATTCCTTCAGATGGATTTTTCAAAATCTCGACGTCTAGCGTTAAATACTAGAACAAGGCGGATCCGTACGACAGCTTCCAACCTCCTTCGAATTGCAAGTTGCAGCATTGTCACTTCAAGCATCTTTAATTCTTTGAGCAGTTACATGTTGCAAAATGTAGTACCGTGGAATGCACTGGCGATTAATATGTAAAAACATCTACAAAAAAGTTGAATTTTTAAATATTGTTACAGTGAGTAAATTGTTATTTGAATTACCCTCCTTTGAAAATGGTTGCTTCCACATTCAAAGTTAACAGAATGGCGAAGTCATGTAGCATGTTATTGTGACCGGCCATTGTTGATGGTGTGTAAAATGAATGACCATGAAGATGATCAAGGACTTTCATGGTCTCAAATGGATATGCATCTGCCTCAACTGAATTGTCAACTTACCATATTTTCGTCCGGTTGAGCATTTTCATTGTGTGTGATGTTGACGGATTGTAAATCAACACAATTAGACATCCAATACATTCCATATTGTGGTGAATGTTCGTGAACGTAGAAGAGGGGTTCTACAAAAGACAATTTTTTATACAAATACACGTGATCAGTCAATAATCTAATCATGATTTCGGAGAGTGCTCTTACGTGTTCCTCCAGGTGGTGGATACTCTGCTGTCGATGAGCATGTTCTCCAAGTCCCTGCCTCGTATGTCAGAGCGTTCGGCTGCAATTGCGTCAAGTCAACGAAGATTGTGTAGATGGAACTTGGCACGAGGCCTCTGATTCTTACTGATAGCGGTGGAAATATTGGCCTGAAAATGAAATTGCTTTGAATAAAACACAAAAAAATTAATATAACCGCTAGTTTTAGTGCAATTGTAAACTGTTACTCGTGCCCTTAACTGACTGATGTTCGTGTCAAGTTACACCAAGTCTTGTATCTAAACGGTGCTATTGGCAGGTAAGGGAAAATGGTAGAAATACTATTTAACTTAGAAAACGTAAGCAAACAATGACACGAATGGACAAAGACGATATTACCTGATATCTGTTTGACGACCCGCCAACAAGCTAACTGAGCTGACCGACTGTTTTCATGCAAATATTTTGTTGCTCGACATGTCAGTGATTTGTGTTTTAAACGAACCGAGTGAGCTAACATTAGTGCGAATTACTCACTAGCATCGATAATTAACAGATTAGACTAAACTAAACTCTTGTTACCTGTTCAAGAATTTTTTTAAAAAAATATCTTAAGTAGATTTCGCTAAGCAAATTAGTCAGGTTCCATGGTACCAGTGTCTGTTGACTATTTAACTATTTGAAAAAAAATGGGAAACGTTTGTGCTCAGAGTTTGTTAAAAAGAATTTATAAGGCAAAAGTAAATAGATGGCCTAAGATTGGAAGAAAGAAAATTTTTTTTAAGAATGGAATTTGCAGAGGTCTTTGAAGCACGACAGTGTGTGGATCAGATGCACAATGCATTGAGGTCGCAAGATTCGAAGAAGGTTTAATTGGC